ATGATATATTAGAATCACAAATGTACACCATATATAATTTATTTATAAACCTAATTCTGTATTTTCAGATATACACAAAAGATAAAAGCTCTATCAATCACTGTGATTTCTGATCGTACATGCGTGCCAAACACGAAGATATAAGAGGGCGTTAAAAAAGGATCCAATGGTTTCCTGACATGATGGAAAGCAAATTATATGTGAAGAATGATTCGGGACTTGAGGGGCAATCGCTCACGAATGCACAGCCTAATCCGCTCGAGGACGGCGGCGGAATAAGAATCTGCTTCGTCTGCGGCGCCGTGGGCCACAGCGAGCAACATTGGTTACGAGTGAAACCAAGTACAGGTGGTTCACCCAATGAGCCCTATTTTCCGTTTCTTGAATCACATGAGCCGCCAAATGGCTATCGCGGCGATGGTGTTAGAAGCGGTGCTGTTAAGGCCTGCAATCTATGTTACATTCTGCTGTTACAACAGTGGGAGAGCTATGAACGAGAAGCTAGACCTCACAGTCAGCGAATTTATTGGTTGAAGAGATGTGACGGTGGGCCATTCACAGGAGCAGAAATGGCACTTCAGGGCGAGTACGCTGCCCAAGTCCTGGGCTTGACGAACGATCAGACGCCACAACTCAGACAGGAAAGTCGACCGGTTGGCGTCTCACCTCGATTACCACCCTCGCCCTCGCCGAGAATCGAGCAGACTAGACCGCCATCGAATTCGATTGTCGAGGTGTCAAGGCCGCATTCTAACACGGCAGAACATAGGCACTTGGAACAAGCAAGACTCACAATGGAATCTCCCCACCACAGATTGCAATCACCTCATCAAAGGTTACAGAGCCCGCGACAGCCCGTGGAAGACGCTAGAATATCCAATGAGGCGGCATTGGATCTAAGACACGCACCTAGAAGCTCACCTGCGCCACAACCCACCTTACCACCGCCTGCAGGTTAATTACTATTCATCAAGTCACGTCTATTAATCTATATTTGAAATTGAGAGAAAGAAAATGTGTATCTAACTTTTATGTATTTATTTGTAATTTTTATATTTTGTTTTACACATTCCAAATTACAATAAACATTATTGTTTATCTGAAACAACATATTAAAAGAGTACAAATATTTTTTTAATTACAAAAATAACAAATAAATATTTTTTGTAATTGTCTAAAAATATTTTTACTTTTTTTTTAATAAATTAATTTCGGGTGATAATATTATTATCGATAAGAAGCATTTCTTTAAAGAAACGTGTATATATAAAACAAGACGCGAAAGCAACTATTGGGATCTTCCTAATTATTAAATTGACCGAGGGAGTTTAATTGGATCTTTATCTGAGGTCAACTTACTGCTTTTATTCCTAACTTTGAGAGAATCAAAGAATGTACTGTTCATAGCATGGTAAATTGTGGTATAATCGTTCAAGAAATTATTTCAACGAAAATAAAAGAAAAAATAAAATTGGTAACGAATATGGATTATGAGATTAGTATTTATTAAATAGTAAGATACTTGTCTTTTTTCTGATACTCAAATCCTCGATAAGATACACATCACACTACTTTACCGGTTATTACGATTTATTACAACTTACTGGCCATCCTATATTAAGAGACCGACATCTTTAACAGCAGTGTACTTACAATTAGATATAGATAAAGTATCGACGAGAGAGATATATACGACGTAGTGTGAATGAAAAAATATTTAGTGGCAATCGTGCTGAAGCGTTTTAATATTTATAAAACGGGTCCGAAGTGTACACTTAACGAAATAACTTGGATGAAATCACCTTGGACAAGCGCTATTTGATAGGAGTAAAAGCTGTTTTTTACTCTTATTACGTTATCTCGTTTCAGAATGTGTACGCAGTAAATATACGAATCAGGTCATTATTTACGCTGGCCTTAGTCCTTCCGTGCGCTAATGTAAACATTTGAAAGTAAAGGTTAACAGTTTTGTAGATAAGAATTATATGAAAGTTGCGGCAAAGAGTCGTCCGATTCATTCAATGTGCATGTCTGATCTGAGTGATGATTCTAGGCGATTTTCCTCCCGTGCTCCGTCCGCGTTCGCGGATTATTGAGCTTTGGTGACCTCTACAATTTCGATCCGGCCGATATGATATTCATTAGTCAGCGGGTGCCCCGATAGATAACCGGGTCGTTCGAAATGGAACTATTGAAGCACTATGTTCGCTATCGTATATGAAAGCGCGAGAAACTATCAACACTCTCCGTATTCGAATATAGCGTGAATATAACATGGAGATAAACTCACAAAAAAATACAAAAAATAGTTTCTAAGTGGGCCACGTGAAGCGCGATGATAATGTCGAAGGCGTGTGCGATTCTCGGGACAAATAGGATAGCCAGTTGTATCGCCGCGCGTTTCACAGATTTTACGCGACGTCGCGTAAATTGCATTCGTCGACAATGAACGAACTGTGTAATCAATTGTCTGACGTTGCGATTGCAGCTATCTACAGCGGTGGATCATCATCTAGTGTCGGCACGGACATCCTGGATCTATCGATGCCAGACAAAAACTCGGTCACAGAAGTCTGTTATGTATGCGGGGACGAATTCAAGAGAGGATCTCTCAGTCATATCGCTGCGAAGCCACTGCCAACTCCACCGCATCCTGCTTCCAGTCCACCGCCATTTTTTCCATCATTGATGCTTCATCCTAGACCGAGCAGAAGTCGACCCATGGACAGTGCTGGACGAGTACAGGTATATTTTCCGACATATTTATTTTCTTGGTAAAAAATTATCTTTAATATTTTTATAATAATTCATATATTTTGACTTTTTAGGCCTGCTCAGCGTGTCAGAATCATCTTTTAATACAGTGGAAAGCATATACACGGCAAGGAGTACCGCATAGTGATAGAAATTATACCCTTCGGAAGCGGCAAGCACCTACAATGGATACAACCACATTTATTTGCTACACTTGCGCTCTTGAGTACCCTTCATCCAGTATTAGACTTCTGTATTGCTGTCCTAATCCAGAGAAGGAGGTGTACTTCCCTTTTATTTATTCTCTGAGACCTCCGTCAGGAGCTAGTCCTATTAGTCCTCAGGGAATGGTGCAGGTTTGCTCCATTTGTTACAAAGCTATCCCGCAAAAGCAGCAAGTGTTTGGCGGAGAAAATAACGAGGCACAGCCAGCCGGACAAAATGTAGATTTCCGTCAACAAGGTTAATTTTCATTAATCTTGAAAAATATTTACACTTTATATTGATGTTTACAGATGTGTCTAAAATAATTGAACATTTTTGCTATAGGTCCTTCGCCACGGCCTGCTGTTCCAAAATCTCCAGCCAATTTAGCTGGTAACGATATTCGCTTTAAGCCATACGACTTAAACAAGTCAACGGTTGCTACAAATAAGCAACGAAGCAGTACCTCCGTGAAAGCTCCCACGCCTGGGCAACGAAATTCACCTAGCAACGGTCCTGCAGAAAATGGAACTGTTGCGCTTGGCCAAAATTATAGGTGCTATATTTGTGAAAGATTATATCCTCGTACTCATATGGAATGGTAAGTTCTACTATATAAATATCACTGAGATTACAGTTTTGTAGCGAAATATCGATAATTCTACATTTTATCTTTATCAGGTTATCTACGAGTCCGGAGGGAATGAATTCACATGCTATGCATTTTCCTTGCTTACGAGGAATGGCACGTACGTCTGAAAACGCTTGCATGGATAGTCATGGAAGAGTATTGGCGTGTAGTCACTGCGTAAATCATCTTGCGCAACAGTGGGAAAGCATGGATGCTGAACGGGTTCCCTTAGAACGTCGCAGGTTAGTCCGCCAATTTACATTAACTGTTAATCAATCTTAATAAATCTTAAATGATTTGCATATATTATGCATGTTAATAATACCGCAAGAAATGTTTTGTGTGTTGATTAAAATGGCTTTATCTATAATTATATCTATCACATTTGTATAAATATCTATAATTTTATCTTTATAAAAAGATGAACAGTTACATAATTCTGTGAACAATTTACATTGAAAAAAAAAGTAATTGTTTCTAAAATTAATATCTTCATTAAATGTTATATTATGAGAATTAAAAAATGTATTATAACATTTGTAATGTCTGTTAAATTCCAGGTATGATATTCCTAGTCCACATCCAAACGGTGATGTGAATCGATCAATTGCTACCCCACCGAGCTCCAGTTCGGATCGAACGTTCGGAAGCAATCCAGGCACATCAAGCAGCTCGATTTATTGTTTCTTATGCGGTTTACACAGTGATTTAACTTTAGCAAGAGTCTTATATGGCCGTCCTCAGGGTCGAAACGCGCCATTTTTCCCGGAACTGTTGCGCCACCAGTCACCACCGAACGCCGAACAGCTCCGTGAGGACGGCTCCGCCCTGGTCTGCACGTTTTGTTATCATTCATTGTTGGCGCAATGGCGTCAGCATGAATCTCTCTCCGGTGGTCAGCAAGTGAACGCCGCCGAGCGCCAATATAACACCCATGATTATTGCTGTTATGTTTGCGGCATTGTAACGTACAGGAAACGGGTACGAGCGCTGCCAGTAAAGGACTTTCCGTTTCTGAGGTATCACAGGCAACCAGAGAAAAGCCTACTGTTAGAAAACGGCGATTTTGCGGTGGTGTGCTTGGATTGCTACGAGACCTTGCGTACGCAGAGTCTCGAGTACGAAAGATGGGGCCTGCCTGTTGAGAAACGAGAATACAATTGGATTGTGCAACCTCCACCGCCTGAGGACAGTCCTGATGCGGCCATAGCCAGATTACCGTCGGGCGAAAGGTCCGAGAAAGTGGTGAGTATATCCTTTACATGTTCGCACTTCGATGGCATAACACGTACATAAATAAACAATAAGCCTATTATATCCCAACAAAAATGAATCTACAGTTATGTTTGCTTATCTCTGACAGGTTCCACCGACATTAACTGTGAGGCCAGCGCGAAAGAATTGTTCACCAAAGGCACCCGAAAAGAAGGTACCTGCAAAAATTCCGGAGAAGGAACAAGGTAAGTGATAATTCAAATGAAATGTGCTTACTGTGCAGTGAGTTTCGTATTATGTATGACGCTTACGAAAACATTTTTTTTGTATATATCGACGTTTTTTAACTTTCCTGTTTGGAGATTAAAAAACGAAATAAAAATTATTACGTTATTCCGTCTCAAGACGACGATTAGTGCACTTGGAACATTTTTAAAAGTATATTTAGCGAGTTTTAAACTTTTCTCGTCTCTTGCACAGTAATGCACTTACTACTTCTTAATTAAAGAATCGACAACAGCTCTCGGAAGATTTTCTCTAGCATCGATAGTTGAAGCATACTTCCATTATTTAGATAATACTGAATTGACTTTTATTTAACCTATACTTTTTAAACTATTCTCTTATGAAATTGCGCGGAACGATTAATCTCTTTAAACTTCTCGTTTTATAAAAATCTTTTATTCACGTGTTTAATTGAAATTATACAAAAATATAAGGTCCCTTATAACTAGCGATTCTTGATTGCTTTAAATATCATGAAAAATTTGTTTAAATATTGGTATTTATTAGATTTATTATGATTTTATATACATATATATATATACACATATACAACTAAAATTATGAGTATATCCTTAAGCAAAACTAGTAATGGCGAGAATATACTATATATATATTTTTTCGTCACTACTACTTTTGCTTAAGGATATACTTGTGATTTTGAGATTTGAATTGGATTGCTTATCTTTTTCCGATCAAAAACTTCCTCTTATAAAAACTGAATGAAATAATTCTCTCACGAGTTCGCTATATCCATCGTAATATCCATCGTAATGTTTCTGAAACGCGAAGATTGCGATCGCACAATTAAACACTGTTAATCTTTGGATTTAATTAACTCATTAATGACAATTATATTTCTTGCACCCCGCGAATTCTCGTTCGTTGAAATTTTATCTTTATTTTAAAGTGAAATGAAGTGGTTAATGAAGTGCAGAGATGTGCATCGGTCGGTGCTAAAACAGAAGGCAATGTCTTTTGATCTCACTACTCCGCACGTTTAAAGCGTAGCAAATATATATGTGTGCGCGCGTGTGCGTGTGTGTGTATGTGTATACATATACTAATGCGCATGTACATTTGTACAAAGACTCGGCAGGGCGGAAGGTACGATGGATGTGGAAGGAAAAGGAAGGATGGATGAGATGCGAGTAGCTCTAAAAATCCGACAGACAAAAGGAGACTGGCTGTGAAGAGCTATAGTCCGAGAATATAGTCTGATGGTTTGCGTTCGAGCGAATTTCCGCTTTTTTTCCATCGTTCTTCTGATTTTCTCTCTTCTTCCTTGTTTGTATCTTCTTTTTCTGCTTATATATCTCCATCAACCCTTCTTAAGTGTGTCTTGAGTTATAAGCAGTATCTCTCTTGCTGTAAACATACCTTGTATACGCTCTATAATTACATCTTGTGACATTTCTTTTTTTTTACGCATATCCTAAAGATTAATTACATTACATTTAAACAATAATTTGAATTTATATGTTTATACATATTAACTGTACGATTAAATTTCAGAATGCAAAAGATTATAACGCGAGAACATTGCGCTCGAGGTGTGGTACATTTCGTTACATTTTTATTCGCTGACACCGCGCGTGTTCGCCCGAGAAAAGCTTTCTCGCCGCGAAAGGTTCCCTTGTGGCTTGGTTGCTGTTAGCCTGTAACACTTTCGCTTTGTTCTCTTCCTTTTTCGTTCTGACTTTAGCGGCGGCGTGCACGCCCCTGTAGCACGGAGGAAGGTACGTCTCCTCGAGTTTACGCCGTTGGACGCGTGAGACCACCGTGCAAACCTGCCATTTAGGAGTCGTAAACTTGCACTCGAGCAGGCCGTTGAAGTCGCCTTTTTAATCCGGTCGCTAGACAAGCTTGTAAAAAATATATTAACCAAGTAACCTTCTCGTACAGGGCGTTTCACAACGTTATCACGCCCTCTTTTATGAATTCTTTAATTCGCTCGATTATCGGAAAAACTTTATATATATATATATATATATAAAGAAATTTCTATTTGCAAATATCGCATTATTTCGAATCCGTAGGAGATAACTGGTGATTTCCCATTCCGCAAATATCGCGATTATTTTGAATCCATAAGAGATAATTCCATGAAAAAATTTATCATAAAATAAAGAGATTATTTAACTTTACGCTTCATTTGTTTCCCTATCGGGAATAAACCGGAGATATTGTATGTACATATATCGGAAGCACTGCGAAATATCCCGGAAATCCTATTGTTTAATGTATCAAATATTTTAGCGCTATTATAATTTCGCGCTGTGCGTGACTCTTTCGAGATGCTTTAGTATCATTATCGTGAACGATACGTTTTATGGGAAATCATTGTTGGCAAAACGATAGATTTCTTTATTTCGAATTTCCGTTCCGCGAAACTTTTGCAATAAAGCCTTGTATATAATCAAACGGTGTACCTGGTATTGTCGACAGAATGTTGTCACGTTCGTAATATCTATAATTATCATAAAAAATTATAGGTCAGGCAAAATGATATCCTTCTTAACCGCTTATAACATGGTTCAAATTTTTATACTTGAATAATGACATTTAATGAACTGGAAACTAGAAAGTAGATTTATTTAATTTGCCTACATTAAAATTTAATTGAATGCTGTTCCCATAGCTAGCTCTCAATGTTTCTGTTTTAAGTATTAACTAGTCTGCACTGCGCGTAAAAACGCAAATATTTTATATTAATTTAATTAAAATGTTAAGAATCTTTTTTTAACTACTTTCGTAATTGAAATTTATCCATTTTTTAAATGTATTTTTGTTAAAAAAATATTTTTCAAATGTGCAAGCAACTAAATTCACGACGGAAGTTCAACGCGACGGTAATTTACTACAGCTGGAGAAGTCTTGAAAATATAACAAGAAAACGCAGAAGTCATTGGTAACTCCGAGTATCGCGTTCTCGTTGAGGAAGGAAAGGAGGAAGGAAGTGCGCGCAGGCAGGTATAATACGATCGTCGAGATCAGGAGGTCGATTAAGGTCGGTCGATCTGGCTTAGAGGGTACCGGGGGTGGCGCTCGAGGTGTCAGATGGGACTTAGCGGAGGGCTTAGCGAGGAGCTTGCGCTCGTGGATGGAGCAAGGGGGTTAAAGCGCGGAAGGTGGAGTATCGTGGGTGAGGAGATGCGGAGGAGTGAAGGCGGATGACGGGTGGCGGGTGGCGGGTTGGCGGAGGCTTGGAGGGGCTAAAGGAGAAAGAGCAAACGCCCGCAGCGTGACACCGCATTGCGCCCACTTGCCAACCCGCCCAACACCTAAATTCGAATTAGGGAGCCAGCCCCATCGTTTCTCGTCAACACGCCTGCCGTCCTCGTCCCGATCCTCGTCTCCTCCTCGACTCTTCCTCGCCCACTCGCCCATCGACCCTCTTCACAGTAAACGTACGATGTGAGATATCAGCCCTCTCACCCCGTCCGTCTGCGTGCACGACGTCCATCTGCGACCCTCCTCCTTACTTTTTCTCTTTCTTGCTCTTTCTCGGAGAGAGCAATCGGCAGAAGAGTACTCGCTCAACTGTGTTGCCTGCCTGTCGTCTTCCTGCGGGAATCGATATCAATGTCATCGACGACTTACCTCTCACATTTCTTATCCCTCGATAACCGGCAGCATATATACTCGTAGCTGTTCTAGTCAGGCACGTGGCCAAAAGGCTCGATTTCGCTCGTGTGCCCACCGCTGTCTCGTGGAATCAGTGCCAAGGCGCGATCCGATCGACTCTCCAGCTTCTCTTCCAGATATTACTTTGTAACGTGTGTTACTATATTTCTTTATTAGTATTATATGCATCGTTTAACTACTAAAATATGATATACAAAGAAAAAAAAGAAAAAACATTTAATTCATTTCTTTAATTCATTTCTAGTGGATTTTTCTTTAATAGAACATTAGTTTGAAATTTATTTATTAAAATATTTTTAGTATATAAATTTGAAAAATATTAAAAAGAAATGATATCTAATTCAAGTTTAGTAACTAAAGGAAGAATTTATAATATTAGCTAGGCACGCACTATATCGCTTAAATAAGTAACGCCTTGTACACATATAGGCATGTCCAACACTAGCGAAACATTAAGCGTTCATAAGGGCGCATTGTTTCCGAATTGAAAGGGTTGAATTCAATTCGGATGATGTCGCGGTTCCGCGAGCAATTTAATCGGATATCCGTGGTGCGAAACCTACGTTTAGACGCCTCGCGAGCGGATGCCGCGAATTCATGTAGCGAGGTATACCTCTCAACGCGTTCTCTTAACAGAGTATGCTTCTGGCTTGGCGCGTGTTAATAATTAACCACCGTTGACTGCCTTACGAAGTAGTAGAACCGCTTGCAGGCGGCTCCATGGCTCGTTTCACCGTGAATAAACCTGCCTTCCGGTTAGCTCCCCTTTTCTGCTTTCTGCTTTCTCGTACATCGGTCATTCCTTCTTTTGCTTCGATTCGTCCGTCAAAGTCTACGTGCTCGACAAACGATTCTTTTCATGGAACGATGTTTCTATCCGTTACTATCGGCACATGACTATATTTTAGCTTTCGTTTTCGCAGAAATTTATATAAGGAAATTATGTTTCGTGAAATGACGGAGAGAGAGAGCAAGAGTATAATTTCCCAGAGTATAATTTAAAAATATAGCTCGACTTTACTGTTAGATATCAAAGGAACAATGGCAATGCAGTCTCTTGAATTAAAAACCATTTTGTTATTTTTAACTTCCATCTGTGTCAAATTATAAATCAATCCATTTCTGTAATTAGTTTCAAAGTAAACAACGTTTATATTAACGTATGCACTTAGTAAATAATAAACTAAATTTGAATCAAATTTAATGTATGTATTTTGATTTAACTTCATTTAACGTCAAATTAACGATATATTAAGTAGACGCAGCGATGACCTATAAAAACATTAAAAACGATAAAAAATAACTCAAATTGCTT